ACCTTTTCATGATCTAAGATAGTCCTGCATCACTTTTCTTAAATACGGATTAAATCATAAACTCATTAATTGATTTCATCATTAAAATATGGGATTCAACATAGTTAATGGTACAATAATTATAGAAAAATCCTTAATGAATCTTTTATAAAAGCTAGGAAGACAATGAAAACTTCCAACATCATTAACACTAGTGGGTTTTGTCCGCTCCCTAATTACTTTCACTTTTTCTTGGACAATATGTATTTCTTTATAGTAAACAACATATTCGACAAAAATAATTTCATTAGTGCAAAAAATGTATTTTTTTTAATTAGTATATAACTTTTCTTTTTTAAGCACATCAAAAATAGCTTTTCATTAGGTTACCTGCTCATCTAAACTTTGTTATACACAAGTATATCATCAAAATAAACAACTACAAACTTTTCAATATAAGCATGAAAAATATGGTTCATCAATCTCATGAAAGTGCTAAGTGCGTTAGTTAAGTCAAAAGGCATCACCCACTATTCATATAAACCATGTTCAGTTTCGAAAGTGGTTTTTCATTCATTACCTTCATGCATTCTTATTTGATGATATCCAGATTTCAAATCAATTTTTGAGAATACACAAGAACCATATAATTCATCCAACATGTCATCTAACCTAGGAATAAGATGTCTATACTTTACCATGATTTTGTTAATGACTCTGCAATCAACATATATTCTCTAAGATCCATCCTTTTTAGGCACCAATAAAATATAAACTACACATGGACTCATGTTTTCTCACACATACTCCTTTTCCATAAGCTTACTTACTTGCTTTTGGATTTTCTCTGTCTCTTCGGGGTTGCATCTATATACTGGCTTATTTGGTATACTTGCACTCAGAATGAAATCAATTTGATGCTTAATTTCTCTAATTGGTGGCAAAACATTATGAACTTTTTCGAGGAAGGGATACTCGTTTTCTTACAAAAGATCAATAATAACACTAGACTAACTCTTGTCAATTTTGTTAGAAGCAATCAAAATATCTTTGTACATAAGTATAAGTAAGGGTTGCCTCATGGTTAAAACTTTCTTCACATCACTTATTTTGGCATAAATACTTATTTTTCTTTCACTCAAACCTTCATTCATTTTGGCATAAATACTAATTTTTCTTTGACTCAAACCTTCCTTGTTTTCTATCCCCTTGTGTTGCCCAACACTCTCATTTTTACCACTTAACTCACTTTTTTTTCTCTCTCTCTCTTTCTTGCTTTCTCCCTAAAGTTTTGGTTAACGAAGACTCAAGCTCCTTATATTGTTATTTTATGTGCATTTGGTCTTCAAAAATTATCTTTGGAGGTAAAGGCCTAAGTTGATATTTCTGTTCATCATATATTACCCTTCAATCCTTATATGGTCTAAGTTGTTATTTTATGTGCATATTGCTATGGTCTAACTTAGGTCTAACTTCATATATTACCCTTCATATATTACCCTTCAATCCTTATATGGTCTAACTTAGGTAAAGGCCTAAGTTGTTATTTTATGTGCATATTGCTATGGTCTCCCCGACATCATGTGATGCATATATAGGTACCACATCATACTAAACTTCATCCTTATATCTACCAATTGAAAAAGAAACTAATACTTGCTGATTTACCTTTACTACACCACTATCATTCAACCATTATACCTTGTAAGGTTTTGGATGTTTGATAGTAGATAATTTTAGTTTTTCCATAAGCAAGGTACTTGTCACATTTGTACAAATTCTACTATCAATAATTTCAGTTTTATATTGTTCACCATGTTCATCATTTTTATTTTACAAACTAAGTGTGCATTGAACAACTAAATTTTTACCTTTAGCATACTCTATGTCACTAGGACCTTTGGAATGTCATCATCATCATCTCTCTCATTTTTAGATTCTACAATCTCATTCCTCATGATCATAACTTTCTTATTAGGATATTCGCATGTCATATATCCATGCCCAAGGCACTTATAATGCCTCTTGTTTGATTAGGCTGATTCTCACCTTTACCCTTGCTGCCTAATGTATTTTTGTCTTTAGTTTCATCAATTTTAGGCTTAATAATGGGTTTATCATCCTTTTTACTCTAATTCGATTTCCAAGAAGAAGAAGAACATAAATAAGGTTTTGAATCATACCTTGTATTTTTTCTTTTAAGTTGTCTCTCAATCTTCATGGTCACATTCACTATGTCCATATAATGTTGCAACTCCATAAAATCAGCAATGTTCTTGTTTAATCCACTCAGAAATTATGCCATGGTGGCCTCATGATCTTCCTCCACAGTAGCCCTTATCATGGCTATCTCCATCTCCTTGTGATATACATCTATACTCATGAGACCTTGTGTCAATGTTTATAGTCATTGATGCAAATCCCTATAGTAATGGCTAGGGACAAATCTCCTCCTCATGATTTGTTTCATCTCCAATCAAGTCTCTATAGGCCTTTTACCATTTCTATGCCCATCTTTACACAATTAATCCCACCAAACAATAGCATAATCACAAAATTCAACAGCAATTAATTTTACCTTTTTCTCTTCGGAGGAGTCGCGACATTCAAAGATTAGCTTTACTTTTTGTTCTCACTCCAAATAGCATCTGGATTATTCTTCTCTTGAAAAGGAGGAATTTTTATTTTGATATTACCTATGTTTTTATCCACACCATCAAAATATCCTCTCCTAGTTTGTCTCCTAAGATTAATATCTTGACCAATTAGAGTAAATTGATTATCATCCATGTCATCTCCACCTTCATATTCATCATTGACAAAGCTGGTTGTCTTCCATGCCATGGTTCACCTTGCAATCTATTAATTGTATTATCATGTCTTTCTAGATGATCACTTACATCTCCGATCACTTTGAATGTACATTCAATTTATTGTTGCATTACTAAAACCAAAAGATCATTTGATGAAGAACTCACTTCTTTCTCTTCAGACATGTTTAAAACTTGAAAAGCAAAGTTAGAAAGCCTCACCAACACTCCCTCACGTGTTTCACTCAAGATTTGACTTTTTTTAATACTGATCTCACCACTCTTGTCTTTACCTCTCTTGTTTTGTTCTTTAGGTTTTTAAATTAACTAAGGTACCTAAACAAATAATTTGGATTATAGCAATTCAAGGGTAGTGAAATTAGGTAGGTCTAAAAGCAAATAAAAGATAGGCTAATTTAAATGTGTGTGTAATGTACTTCAATCACAAGCAAAGATTAGAATTCAAATATCAAATGAACAAAATTTTTTTCTAGAATGAAGAATGATTTTCAAACTGAAATAAGAATTCAAATGAATGAAGATAGATTTCTGTAATTTGTAAGAATTCTTCGAATCCGTAATTTTTTTTAATTCTGATATTTTTTTACCTTTGATTTTTTCTTTTTTTACTTTCTGATTTTTTTCTTTCCTTTTCTTTTTATTCTATAAAGTATAGAAAAACAAAGAAAAACAGTAATAACACAAGAAGTATAATAATGAAGATGAAGAAAGAACAACAATTATATATATGTTGCTAAAAGAAGAAGAAGAAGAAGAGAAAAGGAAAAGCTAAAAGATAGTAAATAAATGGATACAAAACTTGAGTTGAGCTTTGACACCAAATGATAGAAATCATCAACTTAGCAACCATATACCTTGATAGCTAAAAAACTATGATACATATAGAATGTAAATTGACACCCTTCAATGAATTGAAACAAAACGGATCATTCAAGATTAAAGTAAAAGAAACTATTCTAATTACTTTATCAATAAAAATTTGATGAAATAATTAGAACAACCACAAACTAAAAAGTTTGATATGTTGAAAGGAAAAGCAAAGATTTTAGATTTTGAATGTGATAAGCAGAAAAACTTGATAAGTTTCAAAATTGATGCAAGTACTTAAAAATAAAATACTCATTAATGTTAAAGATGATTATACTTCTGAATTACTTTTTTTACAATGGGAGTCAGCTTTGTTTACATAGATCAAAGGCTAAGTATAAAGGGAATAAAATCATTAAATACAATAAATAATATTCATATTCCTAATTTATGAATGTAGATCATTCATGAATTTGCCTTTAAACTCCCTATGGCTAATTAAAAGACATATGATCTTTTATTTTAATAAAATAAAACTTAAACTAAAATAAAATAAGCTCATAATTTTCAGTATGCCCTAGTTGAATAACCTTTATTCTTTAAATTAGGTTAAAATTCATCATTCTCTTTATTATTTGGATTTATTTGAATCATATTGATTATTTTAGGCTCTTCTTGTACTCATAGAACCTTGACTGAGTCATGATCATATTGTTTCTTTTAAATATCTTTCAATAAATAAGTTAAGGTTTCTCTCTTTAGCTCTTATCATTGATCCTTCATAAATAGTTAAAAAGTTTTCGGTAGAATTATGATCAACTTGTTGGTTTATATCAAGCATGATGTTAAATTTAGTATTTTTTATTCAACTAAATCGTATATTGTATTTTAAGTTTTAACTTATTGCTTTGTGGGCGTGTCAGAAAGATTGCAATCCTATTCTACTTTTGTGGATGTGTTAAAAGTGCTACGACCCTATTAAAAACACTCTAACCTCACTGATTTACCATACAAATCGATCTAATGCAAAGGCAAGAGATTACTTTGGGATACCCTCTCACAAACATTTAATAAAAGGAAAGTCAAGACACTGATAAAAGAAAAAAAAAAAAAAAGAATATGCCAATCCAAAAATAACTTTCCTAAAAATTGGTTGAATTTTACTCCGGAACTGATCACCGATGTAGATTAAGGAAGATCAGACACCACCACATAAGATAGGTTGACTGAAAAAGTGACTGTCCTTGAAATTTGAAGGCCAAAAATGAATCACTAGAGCAAACCCTGAACTTTTGCTCGCACTTTGTATCGTGCAGATTATTCAGTGTATTTTAGTAAATGAATGAAAATAAAGACATTGCCACAGAAATTGGCAATAAGAGGTTAAAGAAACGAAATGCCCACGCCCAACTGTCAGCCAAGATTCAAGCTGCTTTAGATGCTCGCTCGAGTTACGGGTAGTTTACTCAATGAGGGGTGACATTTACAAATTGTAGCTTTTACAGGATAATTCTTACAAAGGTCATAAAAAATACAGCATACTTTTAGAAACCTCGTTTCACTGTTGCAGATACTCTTGAGACATTAGTCTGTACCACCAAAGTCACTCGTGTCACCAGCTAACTCTGTGTACCAGCAACAGCAGGGAGGTTTAGAGAAGCCACTTCCGTCAAATGATCTCCATTAAGGTTGGTTATGAATGCCACCGATACAAAATTCTTACCATCCACCTCTACGTCGAAGTTGTAGACTTCCTGAATCTCCCTGGCTTCCGATTCCGCAGCTTCAGCCTCTTGAAGTAACATATTCCCTTCTTCAAGGTCACCCATTTTAAGAGCAGCTAATCTCTCAGCCCTTGCAGCTGCAGCAACTAATTGGAGCCTGTTGCAGCCTGCCAATGCTGCCTCTTTTTCCTTGAGTAGAATTAAACCTTCGTTCTCCTGAATTTTGTCAACATTGCTTTTGATCTCCTCCTCTAGCTTTTCTAGGTGTAAGATGCTCTTCTCCTTCTTATGTTGCAGATCTTCCTTCGCATTATGTAATGCTTTCGCCTCAGTTGCTACCCGCCCGGCTTCCTTGAAATTTCTAGCAGCAGCAGCAACTTTCTTTTCAGCCTCCAGCTCAGGCCCTCTTTTCTCGATAAAATCTATTCTTTGCTTATACAAAGCAACTTCTTGTTGGATGCTTGCCCTACCTGAAGATAGATCCTATAGAATAAAACTCAGTTTGTCAGGATTTAGCATGACGCATTGGCAGGAAAGAGTGTGAAACAAGACTAAGCTCAATAGATGCACGTTATAGATAATCAATCTGTTTTCTTGTATGACTTATAAGGAATTAATAAAACCAGCCTTGGCTACTCTGTGCAGACTGACTGAAGTGACCCATGGCGTAGACATATGCACAGGAGCCAGGCATGGGCTAAAAAAAGGTGCTAGGTAGAGACGTACACTGAGAAAAGATACTTTGTTGAATATTTGTAGTACTTCATTTAGTTTTTATACTAACATTGAAGAGACGGATCTTCCTTTGATGTTCAAATTACTATTTGATCATCCTGCAAGGATTCTTTGAAAACCATCAGAGTTATGTACCTAGAGACATATTAAAGAAGAATTTGCACTGATATTTTCAAATTAGAAGAGTTTGGGTGACCAAATTGAAGGATAGTCTTGGGCATAGACCACAAATATTGTCGGCTTTGGATGGGATTATGGCCTCAAGGATCAAGGTGCTGGCTAAACCACACCAGGGCTCACCATTATCCACTGACACCATAGTCAAACTCAAAGGGAGATTGTGTTTATGGATAAATTATTTTTACTCAAGTATAGTGAGCAGGCTAATTGCTAAATTATAGGGATACCTGTAGAGCAGTTCTTGCAGCTAAAATTTCTTCTCTGAGTATCTGAATATCTTCCAGTATCTTTTCCTCTGTCTTTGAGAACTTCACTCTGTCCTCCCGTGATTTCAAAACCAAAGAAGACAAATGCTTTTTCAATCCAACCAAATCCTTACAAGTTTTTGCTTCAGCAGATGAAATTTCTGAAAGTTCCATTAGCTTTTTCCTCTTCTCTTCAGATAAAGAGATATTTTCATCAATTTCCTTTTTTTTTTTAACAATGCCTCTTTCTCAGATTCTCCCTTGAGAAAGACTGCCTGCAAATTTTCATGCTTCATGACAATAGTAGATTGTGTCTCGTGAAACTTAAAAACCACATTAGAAATTCTTTTCTCAACATCTTGTATTTGGCACTTGTTATCAGCAATCTCTGTCTCCTTCAGTATGACCAATTCTCGTAGTTCATCCAATTCTTTTGCCAAAACAACACCTTTTCTTGTTAGCATTTCTTTTTCTTCCCTGTCATTTTTAACTAGGTCTTCTATTGCATTTTCCAATCCTGAACATGCTTCAGATACTAACAGTGACTCAATATCCATTTCCAGCTTCTTAACCTCTAACAATTCAACTGAAGATTGCCACTCTTCCAGTTCTTCACAAGACTCTTTTTCTGCATTTTTAAGAACTGATTCTGCAGAATTAGCTGCATCCTGTGGATAGGAAGAGAAATCTTTCAGTAACCACATCATTCTGTTAATTCTTTCTTACTAAGACAACTAAGGTAGCACAAGTAATGGGTGCAGAGCAAAGATTATATAAACAGAGTAACCTAAGTCTGCTACACATTAGAAAATTATCATATTGAAACTCATCTATGATAGGCATGTCATAGTGCAACATGTTTGTCCCATAATAGGCATGTCCTATCAATTTCAAGAATGAACTCAAGAGGTAAAAGAAAAACATCATATGAGAAAGCTCATTCACTATCCACCATTTGGAAGGGAAAATTCATACCAGCTGAAACCCTTAAATGCTATAGCTTATCCAAAGTTCAAGAGGCGTTAAGGCCCATCTTGCATATAATCAGTTCTATCTGTTGGTGATTTCCTGCTGGAAACTCATACAAGCCGCTCTAGAAGTTCATATCTGGGACCCATGATCGTATCTCTGAGAAGTATCAAGTGCAGAAAACAGCATATTCAAGCACATCTTAATGAAAGCCTTTCAAAAAATTCAGTTCCGGATGAGGGGGATTGACCAAGAAACAGTTTGCATTGAGAAATATCATCAGATATCTCAATTCAATTTTCTTTTCCCATAAGTAACGAAATATAGCAACTAGATTTGACCTACGAAGGCTCCACAAGTGGAACATTATTTGGATCTGTGGTTTAGTGCACAATTTCAGCTAGCTGTCAAGTTCTGCAAAACATTTTAGAACCAACAAATATTTTGGTTTAGGATCAAGACTCTTAACCTGGTTGTTACTTGAGGAAATTCTGATATGAAGCTAGTCAACACACATCAAAGGCCACAACTAATGGAACCTTTGCTTAATTTGTGATTTAATCATTGTATGATCTACAATCTCAGTCTAAGCATCATTTTTAGCAGCAAATTTTAGTTATCCTTTGTTTTGCGGAACAACTTTTGTATAAGGGCTTGGTAGACTTGGTACTTGAGAGCCTCCAAATGCATTCTCTACAATCTTTGAGATTTTACAACCAGGTTTATACATTGGATTTCAATTGAAATATTATGTATGGACTTGTTTGCTGATGTGGAGATAAGACAGACCCCAAAAAACACAAGTAAGCAAGTGCAACATGCAGACATCTTGACCTGTCAGAAACATTGTGATCCAGTCAATCTGGCAACAGCACATCAGCCACATTATCTCCAGATCATAACGAAATAATAAGTTAATAATCTTTTTCCCAATGGTCTGAATACAAACAATATCTATACTATAAAAGACAACTCCTCCGAAGATAAAAGGGGGGGTCTCTTATTTTATCAAGTTCTAAGCCTTTTTCCTTGTTTCAGCTTATACTCCACCTCCAAGTGTAGTCTGATTTTCAACTTATACTCCACCTCACCAGGCACATTACTGGCACCTTCTATTTTTCCAAGATCCACCTCGGTGCATTTTTGTCCCTCTTAAAGCACCTCAGCCTAGGTCACCTCCCACATTGGGTGAGATCCACCTCCATGTTCCTTGTTCTGCAACATGCTGCTTACTTCAGAAAAAAGGACCAAATGGGTTCTTATTTTCCGATTTGGTGAGATGATCAAAATCAACATCATCATTTGCCATTTAGAATTTTCACATACCTGCTTAAAATTTTTATTCAACTGAAAGATTGGTTTGGTTGCTAGCTGCTTCAAATTCAGTTTGTAGGTTCTTTAAGATAATTTATTTTCATTCATCCTAAGGGTTAGATTACAAATTCTAACAAAATACAGATTTTTTTAAACTATCTAAAATCCACTTGGCAAATGGCCTAGATTCCAAATTCAGATATCTCAAATGACAAAATTAAAATGAAAATTAAATTGGAGACCAACTGATTTGAGAGTTTTATCTTATCAATGTTCATGGCATTAAGGGCAAGCTGAGAGGCTTTGAAGTCCTAAAGCTAGTTATAACCACTCTTATGCTAAAAATTCTAAGATGCAAAGGGGGTTGGAAGAACCAATGTGGCTCTAGCCAATATTTTAGCTTTTGGTAATCCAATTTTGCAAAAGGAGATGAAAAGTCTATGTCAACAACTAGGTTAGGATATGAGTCATGAGCAAGGAAGGCAATACCGAATGATACCGCTTGGTACGGATGGTGCGTACCAGTCCGACGGCATACCGATACGCGGACCACCTGCTACCGGGCAAAACAAAAAATAATAATAAAATAAAATAAAATATATATATTTTTTATTTATTTTATTTATATTTATATATAAATATTTTAGAAAAAAGTAATGTTCGACGACGTGACGTCGCCTTTTTCGGATTATATATATATATATACTAAGCGGTATACCGAACGGTATACAGTTTCGTACCGTACCGAGCGATCGTCGAAACTCCGGTACGGTATGAAATTGCAAACCTTGGTCATGAGGTAATGACAGTGCAATATTAATCAAAAAGAAATCTTCGAGGGGATTGTGTACTTGACTTTCCTCAATCATGCGCAAACAATAATATCTAAAACTCTTGCAAGAAAGGATGATACTGAATCTATAATATCAAACTTCTCTTCATTAGAAATCTTGTTTAGGGCCTTAATAAATGAAGACATTGAGTTGTGTCAGTTGATGGGACAAGGAGAGCAACTGGCTTGAGAAATGGACAAAATTTTGTATTTTCTTAAACTGTTCTTTAAAATAAAATTCACATTCAAGGCCTAAAAAATGGAAGGCATTAAGGTGTCTGTTGTCTAGGCAAAGAGGAATATTAGTTTTGTAGATTGACAAGAACAATACACACTCCATTATCCTAACTTTAGGTGACAAAATGTCGTTTTGCAGAAGTGATATGTTGAATACACCACTTGTGAATTTTCAGATATTCATATATCTAACATGAAGAGTACATTTCAATCAGAAAACAAGTAATTGGTTATGGTGTAATGTTTACCTATCAAACTTCGCATTTAAATACAAATAAAAGGGGCAATCAGTATGCGGCCTGCCCCGGTCCGGTCCGCCACATAAAAGGGAAACTTCTAACCCTAATCACTTCCGCTTCTCAAACACCTGCCACCACTTCTCGCACAGTCGCGACCTCTACTTCTCACTGTGACTTCTCACCACGACCAACACCTCCACTTCTCACGTAGCCGTGACCTCCGCTTCTCACGCAAGCTATTATCGGCGACCTCCACTTGTCGCAACCTTGCTGTACACTACCGCCACACACGACCTTTGCCCTAATCATTTCTCGGGTATGATCCCATCTGCTTGCTTCCTCCTTCCTCCTTCCTCCTCTTCGTCTTTTACTTCCTCTCCAAAATACCAGTACGTACCAACACACAATACACCAACATTGATCAGTATGTACCCATCCGACTAGATCACTAAAATGGGTATGGCACTCAAAACAACGATACTTGGTTTTATACAAAAAGTATAAAATTAATTAAACTTATATATTATATTAATAAAAAATATTTTATCATAAAATGTGTGAAAAAAATTATTGCTAAAAGACATATGTAAAGTGTCTCTCTATCATAGAATTTATTCAAGAAAACATAGGATTAAAAAAAATCCACTCCCAATTAGTTGATAAAAGAAACATGGGAGTGCACAATGTAAAATGACAAAAAATTGGAAACGAAGGTGGATAAAATGGATAGTTATTGAAGAGATTGATGTTGGAAAGAGAAAGAGAAAGGGAGATTGTAAAAGAGACTAATAGAGGGTAGAGACTATAGAGTAAATGTGGATGGCAATGAGAAGGGTGATAACAAGAGAGTGTAAGAGGGCAATGACAAGGAAGAACAATGGTGGTGAGACAAAGTGATAATGATAGAATTGACCAATGAGAGACGACAAAGTAGCATACGATGTTAGAAAAATAATTTGAATTTTCTCTTAAAAAAGACTGGAATTCCCTCAAAAACAAATGAAAGGATAATTATAAACAAGGGCATTTCGATCAGTATGGATTAAAGTGATCCAATTAACAAAGTGGACCATCCAAGGGTCCGATTCCTTGTGGTTTTGGTCGGACCTTTAAATCTGGTTCTGTTTTATGTTCAAGAGCAATAGGTGGATTGTTACATAGTTGGTAGACTTACAGATAAAGAAGCAAGAATAGTTTCCCTGGTGCATCTGCATTTGTAATCTGGCATTGAAACAAGCCCACAAGAATAGTTAACATGTTAAAACTACAGAGTAGATGTGCATGCTTGCAAAAGGAACTATATTTAAAAATAATAATAATCAGTAGCTAATGACACTAGATATTGATAAGAACCAACATTTTTCCTATCAACTTATGAAATACTTGATAATTACTTAGAGAACTTTAAAATTTAGACAACAATGTGAAAATTTGAATGTAGGTTGTTTAGCCCAAGTTAAGTCCTAAATATTTGTAACTCAGATTCGTTAGTCCTGATTAGCCCAAATACCCAAGCAGCAAATGTTTTTCCTTTGGAACCAGATTAGTTAGTCCTGAATATTCCTATCTATCTTTAATTTCTAGAGTAGTGATGGTTTTACCTTAGAAAACTGTTGCAGCAGGAAAACACCTTCTTCCTCTGCCGCTATTTGCAACTCCAACACCTCCAGCATCTTTGATTCAGCAACTTCGCAATCTGCCTCTGCTTCCCTCAACGAGAGTAGGAGTTTGTTTTTCTCCTCTTCCATGGTCATGAGGTTCTGGCTGACCCTTTCAGCCCTCTCAAAGTCCTCAGCTTCACAGGCTAGCTCAAGCTCTCTTTCCAAGTCCTTATGCTTGGCTGATGCGGAATTCACGGTCTCAACCGCTGTTCTCCGCCTTCTTTCCAATTCCTTCCTCTCTGCATATGCTGAAGCTGCTCTTTGCTGGATGGACTCAAGATTTTTGGAGATTTGAGCCCTGACCACCTGTAGTCCCTCCTCTGCGGAATCAAAGGCGCCTTCTCTAGCGGCCGATTCCTCTGAGCAAATATATTCGTCTTCTCCTTCTTCCATCGGGGGCTGGTGACCCTTGTCTTCTTTGACGACAGCTTCACACGAGCTCCCATAGTCCGTCACTTCTCTGAGTTGTTCCAGAGATTTGGAAGGAGGTGGTCCAGGAGTCGGGTCGTTCTCTACCACCGATATGGCCGTATCGGGATGTGGAGCGGAACCTACACCTAAATCATATGAAAAAGTAGGTGGTTCGTCTGCAATCGACTTCGAAGCAATCGCCATGACGACTGCTGCGGTGCCGGAGGAGCAAGGAGGAGGAGGAGATTTGTTACGAAGGGGATCGGAGAGGTGATGGACGTCTTCCGACAAGGCGGCGGCGGGGCCCGCTGTTTCTCGGGCGTAGCCAATCCGGACGGCCCGTTTCTTCTTGCGGGAGGACTGGCGAGAAGGAAAGGCAGGCGGCTGGAGATGCGAGGAGGGAGGCGATGGGGTAGGAGTTGGAGTGGGAAGAGGAGACGGAGTTGGAGGATCAAGGGGGGAGGGGGTTGGAGATGGGAGATTCTGGAGGGTGAGATCGGAAAAGAGGTCTTCATCGACGGGTAGGGGTTTGGATTGAGGTTGGGAGGTGGCGGCGGCGTCAGGCGGCGGTGGCAGAGATGCACCAACTTGAGGCAGGGAGATATCAACGGAGGAGGGCACGAAGAGAACCATACCATCGAAGAGGGAACCATTAATGGCCTCATCGAATCCTGCCTCCGACGACGACGACGCCATGAATGAAGAGACAGAGCGGGGCAGGCAGGCAGGCAGAGGCCAAAACGAGAGTCGGTCGATTCGATTGTGACGAAGTCTCAGTGCGTGATCCAATAATTCTACTACCATCCGTCTAACACTATTTTAATTTTACATCGACAAGAACGATGGAGACCGATAGACTGATGTGGCAGACAGGTCAGATCAATTCCAATAAACTCCATCACCCGCAGGTTCTCCAACCCGCAGGTTCTTTACAGTCTGGCAGGACCGGGATGGAACCAAACGATTGGATTCCGATTGAGTTAAGCGAGGTTGATCGGAGTCAATGCTTTGTTAAGATTCTATGATCAAAATCCGATTTCAGTATTTATTTTATTTTAATTAAAAAGAGTCAAAGAGAACATTCGATCGAGCAGGATCAGAGGATAAATTGACCATAGTATTTGCTGCAGACCTTGAATTAGACATATCATCAAAAAAAAAAAGAAAAAAAGAAAACTTAATCATAAAAAATAATAATTGTGTCGGTTTTATTAAGTAAGAGATATATTAAAAAAAAGATTTTTGAATTATCTTAAAATATTCTCAAATGTATCGAAAGAATTCTTTTAAATATATGTGAGATGATATACAAGAGTTTTACTTTTGAATTTAAATTAATTTAAAAAAGAGATACTTTTAGTATTTATTTTTCTTATATAGTAAAAATATTATTTTGTTGATGAAGATAGATAAGAGTTAATGAATCATATAAAAATATTATTTTTTATTATTATTATAACATCCAATTCCTACTAAAATAGAGCATGACAATGATTGGTTCGAAAACTTCCGCACAAAGGAACGTTATATATACCAATGAATGCTCAGATTCTTACACTAGGGTTTGAGGATTATCCTGAACAAAGAGCAAAATGAACAAGTGACTCATGATGGTGTACAAATTACATTAAGAGCTAATGAGTATGATCTTGTGAACTATGTCCTTTGATGAGAAAATGTATTATGTTTCGAGAAATCTATCTATCGAAGAATTTTTCTTTTTTCATTATGATCTCATAAGTTATCATTTATCCTCATAACAAATTATCAATTTTGAATAAATTCAGACGATTTTACTCTTTCAAAATGAGCCTCAAAAAACGTTTTTAAGACTAAAAGATGACTCTAGTACTTGTAAAGATCTTTGAGACTATCCAAGACGCATGGATCCTTCTTTTGGTATCAGTGATAATATTTGCCCTAACGTTCATACTTAATGATTATAAATAATAACTTATTGTGACTCAAATTAAAAAATTGATGATATTAGCTATCAAGGGTCACCAAACAATTAATTCCCTGCTCTCGATGCAAATTCTTGGTGATGGCAGCTATGGAAAAAATTAACTTGGAAGACGTTACCTGCAATCTGACCTTTTTATCTGTAGATCACAGTCAACCATACATACAATCGGGCAACTGAACTAGAATGTAAGGAGGTAATCAAAGATGATGAGAGAGATATGTAAGCTTTAGTACGAGTGCTTTGTCACTGTTTGTCGGTAGCAATCATGCTTAATTAACTCTGTAGGATTAGTACAGAAAAAATTGCTACAGATAACACAGGCAGCAGTAACGAGTGAATATGAAGAACAAAATTCGTCTCAACAACATCACTCCTAAAGCTTTTACAAAAAAAAAAATATCTTAACAAAATGAAGTAGTGCAACAAATCCGATAGTGTTACTTTGTTGAAGATAACTTGTATTAACAGTAGATGAAAAGGTTAGTAATTTCCAATGCAAATTAGCACCGAGGAAAAAGCAAACACACAACAGATGTTTATGCAGATGATACCGATGGAAGTTGGGGAATCCGATAGTCCCACCTTTTGAGATGGTGGACTTGCAAGTTTGCAGTAGACAGCATAAATGCCATTTGATGATATCTTGGGAAAGTTAACAACAGATCCCAGGCACATGATCTGTGATCGACGCACCAAGATGATCTGCGAGGCTGCGGTTGTCCATTCATATTAAATGTTCTCGTATCCTGCGATGCGACCGTGAGTCAGAGCTAAGCTTTTTAGGACTTCCTGTCAATGCAACATGAGTTGCCAAGACCTTGATCTGATGATGAGTTTAAGTGGTTTAATTGCTAATTAACCGTGACGTTTTCTTTAAGCTTCCAATTTATTTGCTCTAGTATATTTTTATTCTAATTTGTCTCTGGATGTTATTTGCTTTCTGTATAATTATTTTATATTACTCAATTTTCATTGGAACTAACGAGACTCTCTGGTTTTGCCTTCAAGACAAAGAATATTATCTCGTTTTGTTGTATGTCATATAAAAGACAGTTAAAATCTATGACTTCCTGTGCTCAAACGACTCAACAAAAAAGTAGCGAATTTAGCTTAACCGGTAAGCATTTGACAGACGACAGAAAGGTGCTGAAATCAAATTTCATCTTTGCCATTTATCTTTTATATAAATTAATAATAATAATAATAATAATAATAATATCCAAAGCAACTGCTTCCTCCGATGCTACAAAACAAAAAGGAAAGGAACTTGATGGATATCAATCACAACAAAAGGTTCCAACGTCTTTATTATTTTATTAAACGGAACAGATCTTGCTTATAAAGTATTTATAATGGAAAACTAAAATATATTAAAAAAGACCTTCTGAGTCAACCTTTTTGCCACGTGGCAATTATTCTAGTCTTGTCGTCTATTTTAATAACATGAGCTGTTTCACTCCACCCAAAATCTCTTCTGCTCTATTTCTGTAAAAGCAATAACGACTTGGAACTTCGAGATGCATATAGACAGAAATAAACTTCAGGATTCATTCTGAGGTAGAAATTATTTTAATCATGCAAGAATTCTTCTCAAAGAAATTATTTTGATCTCTATGAATTTATTCATAGAGACTTATTTCTCTACACTTAGTTCTACGTCTTCTTCCTCCCCAGTTCTTCGTGATGTAGCAGTGCAAATTGGACTAGTGAAGTTGAATCATCTTCTGATGATAAGAAGGCTCTTCCTGTTCTGATATAGTTAAATAATAAAAATTTATCTTTTTTAAAACAAAAATTAATCATAGAATTTTAACAATATTTTTTTTATAAAAATAATTTCTTTTTCATTCTTGTGAATCACACATAGTTTTAGGTTGTTTTTTTTATATGAATAAATACTAGTACGCTGAATATGATACTGAATATGATGAGATATAAAGAAAAATAAATATTTATATATGAATAAATACAAGTAGGTTATAATATGCAGCGGAATTAAATGGAATCATAATCAAATAGAACATCAAGATTTATATGGAAAATCCCTCCAATATGAAGGGTAAAAATCACTGGACAAACTAGAGATAATTCACTATAAAAATAATGAATACAGAAATCTTAATCTCTTGCCCAAAACCCTAGCAACAATCATAAGAGAATAACTAGGATACAAGAATTATGTCACTATGCATAATATTCAAATTCTCCCTAAGTAATCACAGTAAGAATCTATTGTAGATCTTATCTAACATGAGATGAGAACACTGCCTAGATGATTAAGAACAACCTCTTTGCGTTATCTTTATTTTCTTTCCTTTCTTTCTCATGTTTTCTGTCCTTTTCTCCTAATTTTTGGAATCACGTAGCTATAGTAAAAATCTGCCTCCTGTAGTTTTTCTCCCTAAAAAATGCAGCCACCACACCTCTCTTAATTTGGATTTAGGGTTTAGAGAAAGGGAGGTGGGCTGTGGGCTGTTAAAGCCCACCATGGGCTGAACCTATGGGTTGTCAACCCAACAACCTCCCCATTCAGCCCATAAGAGAGGCTGTCTCAAGACTCCTCAATGTGAAGTTATATCGATCGGTTGTCGGCATATCTTTTTTTTTTTGTAAGGTCTTTGTCAACATATCTGCTCCATTGTCATCTATGTGAATTTTCTGAAGCTACAGCTGCTTCTCTTCAAGTATATTTCGAATCCAGTAGTATCCGACATATATATGCTTTGACTTAGAATGAAAATTCTTGTAAGACTTCTGGCTATCACAATGCACCACATAGTTTTCCTATTTCAGTCCCAATTCTTGTAAGACTTCTTTCATCTATAATATTTCTTTATAAACCTCTGTAGTAATAATATATTCTGTCTTTGTGGTGGAGAGAGTAATACACCTTTGCAATTTAGATTACCATGACACTGTTAGGATCGAGAGCACTAAGAGGGGGGGGGGTGAATTAGTGCAGTGGAAATCTTACAGCGATT